CAAAATGTACTACTATTGCAAATAATACTATACCGCACACATTTTCTCCACTACTACTACTACAACTTTTACTATATGTGTGTATTTTTCCAACTGCTCCTTTCATACCTCACTCACCACTACTACTACTACTACTACTACTACTGCTACAGTTCAGAATTATTCTACTACTAATTAATACTACAAAATGTACTACTACTATAAATACTACTATATCGCACACATTTTCTCCACTACCACCACTACTACTACTACTACTACTACTGTATGTGTGTATTTTCCCAACTGCTCTGTTCATCCTTCACTCAAAACTACTACTACTACCACTACTACTTACTGTTCTGTAATTACTGTCCCTGCAATAACTACTATTTGCTACTGTAATGTTCCTCATATATATTTATTACTTCTGCTTCTACTGCAACTTTACTGCTACTTTTGCTACTACAACTTACAGTTACTTGCTTACTAAGTTGTGATCATGTACTATTACTACTTCTGTTACTACTGTAGTACCATCTGTATGTGTCAATTTTTACACTATTTTCACGTCAGTCTCAGTACTACAACTACAACTATAACTACTATAGCTACCATAACTACTACGGCAACTATTAGTGGTATCTATTACTACTACTTCTATTACTACTACATTCTATAGCGCTTTTCCACCTTCAAGGCACTCAAAGCGCTTTACAACAAGGAACCACTCACCCATTCACACACCAGTGTACACAGACACTGTGGGCAAGGTGGGTTAAGTGTCTTGCCCAAGGACACAACGACAGCATTCATCTGTGGGAGCTGGAATCACACCAACCAACCTGTGGGTCAGTGGATCTGACCGCTCAACCTGAGATGTTTATGTCGAGAGCTGGATTCAAACCACCAACCTTCAGATCAGTGGGCGAATGCTCTACCAACTGAGCTACTGCCACTAGATGTACATGTTTTTCTCCCACACTGCCACTACTATTACTCATTACTACAGTTGCCAGCACCTGTTTCCTGTCCCTCCCGATACTATTAATACTGCAACAACTACTAATGTATTTTCCTAGACACACCCAGACATGTCCGCTCATGTTTTGTTTTTTTTGAGTACTACTATTGCAAATACTTCAATGACACACACATTTTCTCCACCACCATCTACTATTACAAATATTACCCACAAACAGTTTCTTATTTGCTTCTGTGTTCCACTGTGATTACTAACACAATGACTACTTCAGCCAGGCTACTGTTAATAATTCTACTACTACTACTACCACATAAAGTAACACTACAAGAAGTACTACTATTGGAAATACAACAATATCGCACATATTTTTGTTTACTACAGTGATCCACCACCACCACTACTACTACTACTACTACTACTACTACTGCTACAATTAATAATTGAATAATTTGTCTACTGCTACTACTAGTACTACATAAATTAACACTAAAGCAAGTACTACTATTGCAAATACTACAATACCACATTTTTTTGTTAACTTCAGTGCTCTACCGTCACTACTGCTGCTACTACTACTACTACTACTACTGCTACTGCTACTACTACTGCTACTACTACTACTACTACTACAATTAATAAATCTTCATATTTACTACATAAATTTCTAAATTTCATTATATAGTATTGTATAATGACAACAAAGGCTTTCTATTCTATTCTATAAATTAATACTACAGCTACTACTACTGCTACTACTACAATTAATACTTCTTCTGTTACCACCACCTCATAAATTAACACTACAACAAGTACTATTGTTGTAGTGTAGTTGTACTATTGCAAATACTACAATACCACACACATTTTTTGTTTACTTCTGTGATCCATCATTACCACAACTACCACTACTACTATTACTACAATTACAATTAGTAATTCTTCAACTACTACTACATAAATTAACAGAACAAGTACTACTATTGCAAATACTGTACCACAATTAATAATTCTATTACTAGTACTCCTACTACTACATAAATTATCACTACAGCAAGTACTACTATTGGAAATACTACTACACCGCATAGATGTTTTGTTTACTTCTGTGATCCACCATTACTACTACTACTACTACTACTACTACTACATAAATTAACATTGCAGCGAGTACTACTATTACAAATATACCGCATACATGTTTTGTTTACGTCTGAGAGCCACCATTACCACCACTACCACTGCTACTACTACTAATACTAATACTACTTGTACTACTACAATTAATAATTATTCTACTACTACTACATAAATGAACACTACAGCAAATACTACAATACCACACACATTTTTTTTTACTTCACCATCACCTCTACTACTACACTACTACTACTACTACTGCTACTACTACTACTACTACTACTACTACTACGACTACTACTACTGCTGCTGCTGCTGCTGCTGCTACTGCAATTAATAATTATTTTAGTACTACTGCATAAATGAACACTGCACCAAGTACTACTATTCCAAATACTCACAATACTGCACATTTTTTTGTTAACTTCAGTGCTCCATCGTCACTACTACTACTACAGCCACAGTTAATAATTGTACCACTACTACTACTACTACTGCTACTACTACTACTACTACTACTACTACTACTACTACAACTACTACTACTGCTGCTGCTGCTGCTGCTGCTACTGCAATTAATAATTATTTTAGTACTACTGCATAAATGAACACTGCACCAAGTACTACTATTCCAAATACTCACAATACTGCACATTTTTTTGTTAACTTCAGTGCTCCATCGTCACTACTACTACTACAGCCACAGTTAATAATTGTACTGCTACTACTACTACCACCACCACTACTACTATACTCCACGTGTGTATTTTCTCAGACATGCCCCGACTGCTCCGCTCATCCGTCGGCTCCCACCCATCCCCCATCCGGCGCGCTCCCATTCACATTCCTGTCTCTTTTTACACTGGGCCCCTCCCCCACCTACACACAAACACATCCTGGAGAGAGTGGGGGTGCGATTCCTATGACGACCAGGCAGGACACCCAAACACAGCGGCTTGTTTACAATCCCGAGTAAATAAAGGCAGTTTGTTTGTTAAAATTGTAGTTTTCAAACGCTTAAAGGGACCGTACTATGTGATTTTCTGGTCTGTGTTATAATGTTGTTGTCATGGGGAACTACAGGAAGTGCTCCGCTGTGTTTTTAATCTCTAAACACCTTCACTAGAATCATTTGGTTGCATTTTTCAGCTCTAGAATTGCCAATCTCTACTGAACAAAAGGTAAAAAAGGTAGATGTTAACTTGAAAACTACCGCTTTGTGACATCACAAGGTGGAACAGAGCGTTTTCCAGTTACTCAAACACGTGTGAATGAAACAAAACACAATTCCTGATATGTTTTTGAAGAATTAACAGCATTAAAACATGACTTAAAGCTCATAAGAGTCCATTTTGTGCAATATAAGACTTTTAAATGTGTTGTTTTTATGTCATATTTAAAATCCACAAATGTTGGACTTAACAATTTCTACTTTAAAGTATAAATCCATGATCTTAATCTAATTTTAAGCATGTTATCTGTACGCAGTTCTCTTAAAATGTCAATGTAATGATTTACTTTGAGATATTAAATGACCTAATTTGAGGCCGCGATTTATTTTTTTCATGCATGTCCTTAAGTGGGCTCCGTACCTATCAACAGCAAGTATACTGTTACTATAATATAAGTTATATTATATTATAACTTAACTTTTGAGGTAACAAAATACTACTACTACTACTTGAAATGGTTTAGTTCAAGTTGTTAAATGAGCTATGAACAAAAATTATTTGGTTGCTATAGCAATTAAGTATAATGTTATTTAACGGACAGCATATAACTTCACGTTTGAGGGATGACAAAAGATTACTACTACTACTACAACAACAGACCAACGAAGTACAGTTGATTTGAAATTGTTTAGTTCATGATACTACTACTACTACTACTACTACTACTATTACTACTACTGCTGCTGCTACTGAACATTGGAGTACAGTGTGTAAAATATAAATAAAATCACTTTGTTTGTGATATGAAATTATGAAAACTTTTGAGGAACCAATACTACTACTACTACTACTACATTATATTACTTAATAGACAGCATATAACTTAAATTTTGAGACTAAACGGAAACACCACTATTACTATTACTACTACTACTACTGAACAATGGAGTACGGTACGGTGTGTAAAATATAAATAAAATTACTTTGTTTATGATATGAAATTATGAAAACATTTGAGGTACCAATACTACTACTATTACTACTACTACTACTACTATTACTACTACTACTACACTACTGAACAATGGAGTACGGAGTGTAAAATATAAATAAAATTACTTTGTTTTTGTGAAATTATGATAACTTTTGAGGTACCGATACTACTACTACTACTACTTTAGTTCATGTTGTTAAATGAGCTATCAATGGCAAGTATTTGGTTACTATAGCAATTAAGTATTATATTATTTAAAGGATGCCATATAACTCGGAGTACAATTTCATAAGTAAAGTAGTACGTAGGAAGGAAACATAACTAGAGGAATTAAAGCGGCTTAAAACAATTCTAGCGTATAGTAAACATGCCCAACACTACTATTATTCTGCGTTTAATGACCCTTTTTTAAACTATATACCAATAATTGCTGATTAATTAATTAAATGACATCTAAAATTACATCGCTACATCGTTTCCCAAAATAGAAAAGGCAAAACATCGCCATTGTTGTCCCAGACCAGTCAATAGCTTTACGTCCCTCTTCCCCCCCCCCATTCTTTTTTGAGAGCTGACCCTATTGTATCCAAAGCTTTTGTATTGCAAATGTAGTTGGGGGTTGCCAGATATTTTGAGGGAAGGGGGGGCTGGTAGTTTTCGTGCACAATTTTTCCCACCAAAATCCATCTATACCACCAAAACAAAACCGAAAAAACCAAGCCAAAATCCCAAATCTGGTACAAAAGATTTTTAATAATAAATATACTGAGGTAGCTCCACTTGACATAGAATTCATCAGCATATTTCCAAATAATTCTTCAGAAATTTCACACATATAAAAATCTACAGAGAGTTCATTCCTTGTTAAGGCAGTGTATCTGAAACCAGCATAACGTGTTGCCGTCATAGTCTTCTTACGTGACCCGGAAAAGTAGGCCAAAAGTTACTAAGGGCATTATACAGGCACCAGCTGGCGTGCCGTCCCATTTACCAGCGATCTGATCTGTCCCCGGCTCGTTTCAAAGAAAAACGTAGCCGTATCCGACGCGTAAAAGGACGTATTTTATCACAAACACGTAAACACCAGTCTTGTTTTACGTCCCAGAACGATTAACCGAATGCCCTGGTTTTTTTTAGCGTATTTCTCTCAGCACGCCGCTATAGCCATGGGAACCGGAATGGGGGATGGGGCGGCCCCGAGGTCACTACACGTCACGTAGTCCACCAAAACTACGAGCTGCGTCGGGCAATCCAGTTTGGCCTTTTTGAGCGGTAAAAAGTCCGGTACCGCGGATATTTTGCCCCTCCGCTTCCTCGAGTGTTGCGTTGGGCCGTGCGTAAAAGTCTGTTGTGAAGTCTGTTGTGTTTGTTCCATGGGTTCCGGCTGCGTAACGGCGTCGCTGACCTCCTCGGACGCGAAGTGCTCGGGTTCGACAGTCTGTGCGGTTGTGTTTGGGTCCGGGGTGAGGTCTGTTTGTGCCGGATCGCAGCTTGGCGCGACCCCGCTGTACTCCTCTTCCTCCTGGGCCGCCGCGTGGTACATGTCCCGCGCGCTCTTCATGACCAGGGTGAGCAGGAGACTCCGGTGCAAGCGTAGACCTCCTCTTTGTGAGCGGGAGCTGTAAAGTTTCCCCAAAGCCACGACCATTATCCTCTTGGCCTCGGCGCCGACCTCCATGTTTGAAAAATGTTTGTGCGTAATTGGGTCCAGGGCAGTGAGCGCTCGAGTGCGGACCACGACCCCCTGACGACTGGCGCAGACACAATACAGACCGGAGGCACGCGCGGGCACTACTTATCACCTCGGTGACGTCACATGCCACGACTATCGAAAGCCCCGCCCACCTCGAACTATCCCCGCTTTGATATGCGAGTCCTGCGAGTTTGTTTTGTAAATAAATCGGAAGAAAGTCGATTCTGCGCGAGTCATTTGCATGCACGTGGCTTAATATGGAGACACGCGCTTCAGGTTTAAAGGTGCGGTATGTCGCGTTTCCGGACGGAGGCTTGTCTCTCCGTGGAGATGTTATTGTTTTGCCTGGAAAGCTGCGCGGTATTGCATTAAATGTAATCTCCCTGGAGACAAACAGGAGGTGAAGTCAGGTTAAATTAGGGGTCATATCTGTGGAGAGGCGACCCCACTCACAGTAAGATTGCATGGGTTTCATGGTAACCTATTCTTAGACATAAAAACACTTTTGAACACAGTTGAATAAATGTGTGTAAAATCCCTCAGTCGTCCAGGTAAAATCTAGCCTGATTCAGTAGCCGGTTTTATTTCACAGAAACCGTCTGACCTCACAACATTAGGATTCGTACGCTCGACGGTAGGCAGGTACTTTTTAAATTTAACCACATGCTGCTATTTGATCGTGACGTATGTAATGCGTAGCTAACGGGGCTAACTTTTAAGTAAGTTTCCCAGATCCCGTTAGAAGAAGGGCAATAACGTCTTTCCCTTTAATAAAATTCACCGAACATTCTCTTTTTTTCTGGCTTTAAATCCTCGATCTCGGGAATTGTTGACAACAAAAAATATATGGCTCTTCGTTGATTGGCTGGTGCCTGAACTTACACTTCCGAGGTTTTTGCGAACCGTCTCGTGTATTCTGATTCCTGACCTAGTTGCTGGAGAGAAATTAATTACAAATAAAATATTATATAATAATATAAAAATTAATATTCAACCAAATAAACTTTTGTCCAGTTAACATATTGAATTTCTCCTTTTGCCACAGTTGAATAAATAAACGATCAATTTAATACAGTGTGAAATCGCCTATTTGAGGAAAAGCAGTAATATCTCCATGGCGACAAGCAGCCCCTCCACCAGAAAAGTTACATGGTGCACCTTGATGGACGTATATCAAATAAAATGCTCTAAAATAAAATGCCTACACACATATTACTACTACTATTAGAGTTGTCAAAAGTATCGAAAATCAGACACTAATCGATGCTAAAACTAGTATCGAAAATAGATACTAAAAAAGTCACATTCACAGGACAGAAATGAACCTTTTCTGAAGTTTTAGAACGATCGTGAGCTGTAGCAAACAAGTATAAGAGCACAAAGACTTATTTACGCTACCTGGACCACTGAGGGTTTACACAAATATAAGACCACATGGAAAAAGAAAAGAAAGTACTATGATTCAAAGTTGAAAATCACATTCTGTTGTCTAAATAAAGCGTGTTTTTAATTATCATCGGGGCATCGGAATCAGTATTGAATATGGAGTCTATTCCTTAATATCGAAATTGAGTTTGAAATTTTAGCATCGTGACAACACTAACTACTATTACTACTACTTCTTACTACTACTACTACTACTACTACTACTACTACTAAACTAACATTACTGACCTTACTACTAACTCAGGTTGGTGTATATTGTGTAAACACAGTCCCACAGCACCCAAACAGTGCGTCAAAAAGCAAACAGCTGAGCTCATTTATTTACCGTTTGTCGAAGTCATAAAACAGAGCACTGTACTGTACCAGATCAAAGTACATCGTATCATAAAGCCAGAAATGTACACAAACACAGAGGAGGTATATTGTGTACACTATTGCTGCAATGTCATAGCCGGAGGTGGGTATTTTAATAACTTATTTACTCAATTCCATGTACTTTTACTTTATTTTATACTACGCTTAGATATACTGCACTAAAGTATTATTATATTGATGTAACTTTCATATTATTTGTGTTGATTACTACTATACTAGCTGTACAACAACTCACCTGAATGTAACAGATAATACTCCCTACAACTGTACAATAACTCACCCTTATGTAACAGATAATACTCCCTACAACTGTACAACAACTCACCTTTATGTAACAGATAATACTCCCTACAACTGTACAACAACTCACCTTTATGTAACAGATAATACTCCTACAACTGTACAACAACTCACCCTTATGTAACAGATAATACTCCCTACAACTGTACAACAACTCATTTATGTAACAGATAATACTCCCTACAACTGTACAACAACTCACCTTTATGTAACAGATAATACTCCCTACAACTGTACAACAACTCACCTTATGTAACAGATAATACTCCCTACAACTGTACAACAACTCACCCGTATGTAACAGATAATACTCCCTACAACTGTACAACAACTCACCTTATGTAACAGATAATACTCCCTACAACTGTATACAACAACTCCCTTATGTAACAGATAATACTCCCTACAACTGTACAACTCACCTTATGTAACAGATAATACTCCCTACAACTGTACAACTCACCCGTATGTAACAGATAATACTCCCTACAACTGTACAAACAACTCACCTTATGTAACAGATAATACTCCCTACAACTGTACAACTCACCTTTATGTAACAGATAATACTCCCTACAACTGTACAACAACTCAGCCGTATGTAACAGATAATACTCCCTACAACTGTACAACAACTCAGCCGTATGTAGCAGATAATACTCCCTACAACTGTACAACAACTCACCCTTAACAACAACTTACCTTACAACTGTTACACACTGTTACACAAGGTTGAGTTTTACAGTTGTAGGGAGTATTATCCGTTACATAAGGGTGAGTTGTTGTACAGTCTTACATATACATTTCTATAATTTATGTCTTGATGATGCCGATCTCTTGCTATTTTTTTTATCGCTGCGTATTTAGAAGTTTATTACCACATTATATAAGTCATATTTATAACTCTGTCCGTGTCTAAGTCAACTTTTTTTTTTTTTGGAGCGGACATGTCTCTTATTATGGCCCCGTATCGTGTTACTTTGTATGACGACACTGCGCTCCGACTCGAGTAACGCTATTTTGAGTCCTTGAGTACCTTTTTTTCCTTGAGTACTACATATTTGGCCTAGTTTACGCGCGGTCCATTTGTCAGCGTGGTACAGAAATAGCTCGGCTCGTGAAGTCCCGTCTGCCTCCTACACACTCGTAACCTCCCCGGAGCCTGTTTCCACTCTCACCCTTCCCCCCCTATCCCCGCCCCCTCCGCTTCCTCCGACAGGAAGCAGGAAGAGGGGGGGGGGGGGGGGGGTGAGAGGGAGAGCATGCCCATATTAGGCGCTTCCTTTCGCGGCGGCGCACGCGGAGGAAACCCGTGACGTCACCGGGAGCCCTGGTTTCCTGAGGCCATTTAAAGCGGCGATACCGAGCGACTTCCGTGACCATATTAGGGCAATTGTTGTTTTTTTATTTTTGTATCGTCCACTCCAGCGTCGTTTTGGGGAGGATTTGTGGGGGATTTAATTTTTCTATATCGGTATTTTTTTATTTTTTTATTTTTGGGTGTGTTTTAGTGGCCAGCGTGTAGTATTTATTTATGTACGTGTGTAATCAGACTGTAATAGTGGGTGTTACGAGCTCCCTCTTGTGGTGTATGTACAAAACTACATACAGGTTAAATAAAAGTTTTCTTATAGTTCTTTATTTAGTCTTTTGAAAATACATTTAGTAACCAAAATTGTTGTGTTACTTTTCATTTAAATTGCTAATTTTTTAATTTTCTGATTTGTTATAATGTTGTTTTCTTGTCACAAACATTCCTGGAGTTGTGTTTTGTTTCATTCACACTTTTAACACATAAATATTAAGGCTGAGTTCTTCTGTCTGTTCCACCTTGTGATGTCATGTGGTAATACAGGAAGTGTTCCACTGCGTTTTTAAACTCCATGCACCTTCACTCGAATCATTTGGATTATTTCAGACCTGGAATTTCTAATCTCTACTGAATAAAAGGTAAAACGTAGATGATAATTTGAAAACTTCATGACATCACAAGGTGGAACAGAACATTTTGACTAATAATGCAAACAAAACACAACTCCAAGTATATTCATCCATAGTTTAGTAACCAAAATTGTTGTGTTACTTTTCATTTAAATTGCTCTTTTTTTTTATTTTCTGATTTGTTATAATGTTCTTTTCTCGTCACAAATATTCGTCGAGTTGTGTTTTGTTTCATTCACACATTTAACTTATAAACCTTGTATATTTAGGCTGAGTTCTTCTCTCTGTTCCAATTTGTGATGTCACGTGGTAATACAGGATGTGCTCCACTGTGTTTTTAAACTCCATGCACCTTCACTCGAATCATTTAGGTGATTTCAGACATGGAATTTTTAATCTCAACTGAATAAAAGGTAAAACATAGATGATAATTTGAAAACTTCATGACATCACAAGGTGGAACAGAACATTTTGACTAATAATGCAAACAAAACACAACTCTAAGTGCGTTTTTGAGGAGGTAAACACATTCTAACGTGGCTCAAAGTTCACAAGAGTCAATTTTGCGTAATATAGGACCTTTAAGATGTAAATGAATGTGGGGAAAAGTTATAATTCAGTTTGTTTATTTTCCAAAATTATAATTACAGAACAACACCCACATACGCAAACAAGAGCTGCACTATCCACTCACAGCAGAGGAGTTTGAGGAAATTTAAATGAGCCTAAATAGCTACTAGTATTTAAACTGAAGGAAATCTGAGCATTAAAGGTGCATTGTGTAACTTTTCTGGTGGAAGGTCCGTCAATGCTTTTCTACATGCTGCCGAGTTATTGCTTTGTCTGGAATGTTTCACAGTTTGGTATTAAACTTTTCTATCTTCATGGAGACCAAACCAGCCCAAGTTACAGGTCAGATCTGTGGAGAGGCGACCCCGCTCACAGTCAGAATGTCTGTTTTTTTAGGTATTTTTGAGCTGTAAAACCACTTGTAATTGAATAAATGTAAACTAGTAAACCAGTTTAATGTCATACTGTGGAACATTCCAGGCAGAGTAATGGCGTATCCGTAAGAACAAAGACGTGACAGACCCCCAACCAAAAAGTTACACAGTGCACCTTTAAAATGATCAGAAACACTTTGGCGAATGTGTTTAGATTTTAAAAACATGAACTTGCTCGATTATCGCTGGATGATGTCACAAGGTGGATCAGAGCATTTCACCTCTGAGCAAACAATGACCTAAATAAGAAGGATTACTCAAACATGCACGAATTAAAGGGGCACTTTGTAGGTTTTCAGATAAAGGGTCCGAAACCTTTGATTTTCTGTTGTTTTGCCTTAGCCTGATTCATCAGCCGGTTTCACGTTGTGGAAACCGTCTGACTTTGCAGCATTAGATTTCGTTCACTCGACGGTAGGTACTTTTTTAATTTAACCAATCTCTGCTATTTGGTCGTGACGTATGTAATGCGCCGCTAACGGGCATAACTGGTATGTTAAGCTTTTCCCAAATCCCGTAGGAAGAAGGACAATAACGTCTTTCTCCTTTTTAAGTCCTTAATCTTGGGAATTGTTGCCAACACAGAATATATGGCTCTTTGCTGATTGGTTGGTGCCCGAACTCCCATTTGTGGGGTTCTTGCAAACCGTATAGTGAATTCTTATTACTGACCTAGTTGCTGGAGAGAAATGAAATTGAGCAGAGGCACTAGGTGGCACCAGCCTGGCTAGTTTTGCCCGGAATGTCCCAGAAAATGGCGCAAAACTTGTCAGTCTCCATGGAAACAAGCAGGGGACTCCACCAAACTATAGCGATATTTGGAAATAGAAAACACCTGAACTTGACTAAATGAAAAATATATGTGTTTATAGTAGTAATGGGTCTTTTGGGACTTTTACGGGATCCAAATCTTCTCTGTTCATGCCAAAGAGCCATTCAGGAGACCGACTCTCTGGCTTCTGTCGTATAAATAAACAGATTTCTCACATTGTAATTTATCTCCAAACTACTTCCAGAGAGAAATGGGCCAAGGCTCAGATCTGTTTAAAATGGTTCAAACTGAGAGTGGGGGTGTGTTTACCATTTGAAATGACGCACTACAATAATAATAATTACTGTAATAACTGTTATTATGATGAAGCCAAATCTCTTTTTTTCTCTTTTTGTGCACAAAGCCCACACTCATGTTTTCCTACTCAGATTCTGTGCTGATTCTTCGTCATAAACTAAAATTTAGCCAAGTTAAGAGACTTGAATTAAGAAGATTTTAGTACGAATTAAGTAAATTTAACTTGAAAATTAACAATGGAACAAGACTATGTGTAGTTAAATATGAAAACACATCTTTGCTACACTTAAAGGTGCATTGTGTAACTTTTCTGCTGTCAAATGCCTTTCTCTCAGTTATTGCTTTGTCTGGAATGTTACACAGTATGGTATTTAACCGTTCTATCATCAGGGAGACGAAACAAGACCAAGTTACAGGTCAGATCTGTGAAGAGGCGATCCCACTCAATCAAAATTTCTGTTTTTCTAGGTATTTTTGAACTCTAAAAACACCTGTAACTGAATAAATGCAAGGTAGAACTGCTTAATGTTGTACTGTGGAACATTCCTTCCATAGAAACAAGCAAATGATGGATCTACAACAAAAAAAAGTTACAAAGTGCACCTTTAAGATATAAAAATCAACTCTTTGCACTTAAACTAAGAAACAAAATCCAGTGTTTCCTGAATTAAGAAAAGAAAAGTTGAATCTACTGAAATCAAGTAATATGTTTTAAGTCATTTAAGTCATTTTAATTTACCCAGATATAATTTTCTTTTGGAGTGTTGTGTTGGTTCAAAGTTAACCAATATAACAACCAGGGTGTCCCCAGGTTTGGCTACCTGTTACGACCCAGCTCTGTTAGGGATGAGGGAAGTAACAAAAATAAAACCAAGATGTAAAATGGAATAAATGAAATAATGTTTAATTAACAGGAATGCAAAGGTAAATTAACAAAACAGACTAAAATATACAGAAAATAACCTAAACTAAGAGATAAAACAACAGACAAGGAGTTTTGTGCCACAATACTCAGTTTATTCTGTTGTTCTGTTTCTTAGTTTAGGTTATTTTCTGTATATTTTAGTCTGTTTTGTTAATTTACACCCGTTAATTAAACATTATTTAATTTATTCTATTTTACATCTTGGTTTTATTTTTGTTACTTCCCTGTCCCTAGCAAAGCTGAGTCGTAACAAATTGGGGACTTGTCCAGGAGCTGAACCCAGAACCTCTTGCACCCAAAGTGAGAATCATACCCCTAGACCACAGGTGTCAAACATAAGGCCCGGGGGCCAGATCTGGCCCTCCAAGACCTTTAATCTGGCCCTCGGCTGATTTTCTACTAAAATATTTTCATTAAATTTTCTATTAAAATATTGGTAATTTTCTGGGCCGCTTAGCATAACAGCATCTCCAGAGCCTCTGTACGTGGCCCCTCCCAACAGAGCTGCACAAATGAAGACTTGTCTCTTTCCAAACGCTCTTAAAGGACGATCGTTTTGACTGTTGACCGTGACACCCTCATCAGAAAAATAACAAAAATGAGAAAAGTGGACACCAAGTGCAGGATTTTCCAAGAAAAATTGACTCGTTCCAATTTGCATAAAAGTTAACGTTAAAACATTGTGTTGAAATTGCATGCAAAGAGTTCATCAATTAAAAAAAGATTTCCGTAATAGATTTGCGTTTCTCTGCACAAATATTTGAACTTATTGCTATTTTTGGGGTATATATGCTATGAGTTTTCTGATCCGGCCCCTTTGGGATCACCCCTGCCCTAGACTGTAATACTACCTGTAATAAGACCTTTTTTAAGACCTTTTTTAAGGCCACTTAAATAAAAATTAAGACCAACATCACACCCATTATGTGGGCGAAAAACACCAGATCCAATTCTAATAATGACCAACCAACTACTGCATCTAGAATCTAAGAGCCACTGTCGATTAAACCTACACTTCCCCATGATCCAACCCACGTCTTCCTGCACTCTACTGACTCATTGCCGCAGGTGCCAGAAACCAAAGTATTGTGTGCTCATACACCAAATTAGACATTCATTCATTTTACATTATTTCATGTTGTTTTTTTCCTCCCTCCTTTTAACGTTGCACTGCAGCCCGGTTGAGTTTACAAAAAAAATAGGCTAATGAAATGTAAGACCTTTGTGAAAAAAATAAGACTTGGACAACATAATTTAAGACTTTTCAAGGTCTTAACTTAAGAACATGAAATTTAAGACCTTTTTAAGATTTTTAAGACCCCGTGGCTGCCCTGAACAACACATGAAAATTAGAAAAAGATCCGGTTCTTTAAAAAATTAGATCCGATTCCAACAGTTCACGTCAAAGAACCATTTAAAAGAGCCGTCTCGTCACATCGCTAATTTATACCATACTACTCAACAGGTTGACAGGTTAGAACATTCATTTTACTAAAACACAGTTAAGATCATTATATTTAAGATTTTTGTAAAAACACTGCATGTTGCTTTCCGAATTTGTCCATTTTTTATGTTTAAAATTTGACTTCTTGGTTGGAATTCACACTTGGGAATTCTTGGGAAAAGTCCTCTAATGTACACAGAAATTATTATCTGACTAATACAAATATAAGATAAGAAAACACGTGTAAATTGTGCAAACTTTTGTCTAGAATTCTCCCTAATGTGAAGTCGAAGTTGATTTAGAATCCTATACTTCCTGTATTTTTCCAACACATTTTTAAACTTTTTTTTTTTGCAAATTGCTTCTTGATTTGTGTAAAACTATAATTTATATTGAGAACAGTTACAATCCCAACAAATTAAATCAAAATTAGAGAATCATTAAACTCTGTCAAACGCACTTTAAGGAAGTTTTTGATGAAGAAACCTTTAATCTTAAAAACAGTGTATTTGTGTATTAGTATTTTTAAAGATAACATAAGAAATAACACAAAAAGAGCCATCAAAAATGTTACAAATCTTTTATTACGATATTCATCATTTAGTCAATAGTCGTTGACATTTTCTCTATAGGATTCGCCTTTATTTTACAGTTGTTAATGTGCAATTACCTTGGATAATGTTGGGTCACAGTTACAGGGCTTTTCACAAAGTTATTGGCACTTGGAACACAGAAAGAGGAAGAGGAGGAAGAGGAGGAGGAGGAGGAAGAGGAGGAGCTGGACAGGAGGGCCACTGGTGCTACAGGCTTAACACGGACACAGACACTGATAGTGAAGAAGCGCGAGTCTGGCTAAATATTGATCGGTCATGCACAACAAACATGAAGAACCGCTATGTTGGTGCATCTAGTTTGTAATATACAGTATTCATCTATACATGTATATAATCGTATTTATAGTTATGTATATATTTATATGTACTGTTCAGTGAAAAACAAAAGGGTTTCGGAGCCGTGCCACGCCTTAATCCATTCACGTGTCTCGTCTCTACGCAAATTGTGTAAACGTACTGTACATGCTTCGAAAGTGTTAGCAGTAATTCAAATAAATGAGGATTTTTGAGTTGGCTTCGCCCACCCCCTCCCCACATCGAAAAAACAATTCCGTTTGGATTATAACAACTTCGCGGAATTCAGGAGTAATAAAGTTGCGCAAAAAAAGTAAAGGGTTTCTAGCCAATAAGCGATCCGCCGAGTTGGTATCGTGGTACAAGTTGCGTCATTTAGGGCTCCGTAGAAGTTTTTAATACTGGTAATACCACAAGTCGGTATCTGAAAATTTGTTCCCTTTGCGCTCCCGTAATTCTTTCTCATAACACGTTTTGTTCCTGTAGCTTTTCTTTATGCTAACTGGACTGAACATGGCAACAGCTATACTGCATCTGCGTCGTCAGGTTGTCGAAGGCAACCGTGACCGAGGTGGATCAGACGATATATAGGAGGAGCCTCGCAGCGCCGTGAGGAGCACTGAGAGGCGAAGAAGTTGAGGTGTATTCAGATCTAGCTACCTGAAGTCACTGCCTTGCTTCAATGGACACCCGTTTAGTGGAAGTGGTGTTCATGGACCGCGTCTCAATTCTCAAACTTGAAAATTCTTATACGAAGGAGGTTTTGTTGGTATTTTCGACGCTAAACGATCATACTGTTGAAGTCGGTTATCTGCGATGACGTATGATAAGGTTGACGAGCCGATCGGTTGAAGTTCTTGAGGTCTTGGGTTTTAAGTAACCGAAAAATCTTTGCTCGACTGATGAAGAAAACGACTCGGAGAATGGTTTGTATCTTGGTTTTAAGTGACCGAGAAAACTGAAAACTTTGCTCGACTGACGAAGAAATCGACCAGGAGAATGGTTTGTATCTTGGATTTAAGTGACCGAGAAAACTTTGCTCGACTGATGAAGAAATCGATCCGGAGCATAGTTTGTATCTTGGTTTTAAGTGACTGAGAAAACTGAAAACTTTGCTCGACTGATGAAGAAATCGATCTGGAGAATGGTCTGCATCTTGGTTTTAAGTGACCGAGAAAACTTTGCTCGAACGATGAAGAAATCAACCTGAAAATGGTTCGCATCTCGTGAAGGAAGCAAGGAGTTTGAGGTATCAAATTTTGAGAACTGGGATGCGGCCATGACAAGAGGTCTGAGGGACAGGAAGCACAACAGTCTGGCTGAGTCCACTGGCCTGTTGCGGGAATCCGGATCTCCAAACTCAAGAGTTACGAGCTGGGTGGACTTCGGGGGAGTCTGTAAACCACCGCGGCGACTAACACTGATCTCATATGAACCTAAAATTGAACTCCGAGTTTGCTCAAAGTAAACCTGAACTTCCTTTGAACTCGACCCGGATTCCATCAACAGGCCTCAGAGGTATCGGAGTGTGTGTGGGTTTACAGTCCAGCGCTAGGCCAACTGAGGTTTTGTCGTTGTTGATACCCTAAGTCCATTCAAAACACAGTACTAAGTTTGTCTGCCCGTACGAACCAGGTGGAGTTTTCAGTAATATTGTGAAACATGCTTATATTTGTACAACACATCAACAGAAAAGAGTGTGATCAAACAGTTAGAAGTTACCGGTTTCCTCTCCTTCGCTAGCGCCATTGTCGTTCTGCAATTCGAAACTGCTAAAATGCCTGCTAACAAACACGCTAATAGAAATGGCACACGTAAATGAAAAATAAACAAAACAAAACAAAAAAAAAACAAATCAGTAAATAAAAGAACACTTGGGTTTCAACTCAACAGTCTTCGCGAATATTTACATAAACAACCGTGCCACGCTCAAATAAGGAAATCAGTGAAATTTGTTTGAAAAAAGGACACGCAGGAAAGCTAAAGGGGGTTGATTGCTACACATCAACAACAGTGAAAAGGTGCTTTTCTCTTAAGGTGCTCCAGCCTTCACTCTACGCCTCGCAAGGTGCAAAAGTCCCACAGGTCAGCCATTTTGGATTCTAAAATTCAAGGTGGCACTAAGTCATGGGCATATTAGACACATAAATAGAAAATGTACACTGGAAAAAACGGAATGTCTGCAAAGGTTCAAATGACTTTAAGGTAAATTTTCGGTTTGGTTTGGGATTTGGAATATACGGCGTCTCTATTTTAAACAAAAAATATCTGACAATAGACTAAGTATCGTAATTTATAGTCGACAAAATCTTGACACACTGGACAGATTTAGAAAAAACAAGAAAATTGGTCACAAATCTAGTCTTACTAACGTAAAAAAAATCACTAAAAGCTACTCAAAACAAGTTTAATATTCAGAATTTTAACTTTTAAAAAAAAAAAACATAAACACAAAAATGTTGACTTTAAATAAATCTTGAACACGCTCGTTCAAAGTTAAACGAAAACCTGTTTAAAAGTTTTCGGATCAAGGTCAAAAATGAAACGCGAAAAAACTTGCCACCGATACTGATTTTAGGTGAACATTTGAGTCCTTTTGAGTGCATTCCGTTGTCTGCAGTGTACGTACCAGACACATGCACACACACAGTACCATAACCTTTTAGGATATTGCTTTCCCCCTGACATCGCTGCGTCTGATTATTGGTTCATTTAAAAGGCACATTCAAAGTCTCCGCCCACTTCTCCACTAGTGTTGGAATAAGCTTCATCACAGAGGCAGACGTTGCACTTTTTACTAAAGATCATGAGCTCAACAGTCAACAGTCGTGCCAGGTCGACCAGTCTTTACTCTTTAGAATGAAATGCGTCGAAACCAACCAAAGAAATGTTTTAAAAAGAATTCTGAAAAAGACTGAAACATATAGTCCCGTCTGCTATAAGTCAGCCATTTGAGGTTCTATAAGAGGTCCTACGTTAACACTGCAATGTTAGTTTTATACTATGATCTCTGCAAAAATATGTTTACCTTATTGTGATATATGATTTTAGTAAAACATAAAGTGAAGTTAAACTCCCTTGCTCTCTGCTCAGAACATGCCAGGCATGGACTCTAATCATATAAATATACTTCTAAAAATATCTTTGACCATCTTTGATTACCAGTTGCCCTTAAATTTACTTTACAATCATCTTAGTAAAAAATCTTACCTTCTCTCCTGATCACATCATAGAAAGAGGAACATGCATTTAGAAAAGAAAAACGCACCGTAAAAAAAAAACGACATCTACAAAAGTTTAAATGATTTGAATTCAGAATCAGGTTTAGATTTATTTAGTTTGGATTTATTGTCTTTTAGTAAAGCTTTTCTGACTGGTTTCATATTTTCTTTAAAAGCTACAATGTAAGAATTTTGTTTTAGAAAAAGAAAATGAAAACAAACTGAAAATCCCTAAAAAATAAAGTTAACGTGATCTTCTGTGAATATAAAACGCAACCATTTTGAGTTAAACCAACTTAAAATAATAACTTTCAACCAACTTAACATTTCAGAGTCGAAAGAGTGACTTTTTAACCAATTTGTATAGACCCAACGTTAAAAACAATTTTGAGAACGGAAACCGGTCAGAATTACCTCAAAACAAAACCGTAAATTCAGCCCGACGAACTAAACTAAATAAATCTAGTTAAGACAACTCAAAACAAGGTAAACATTCTGAATTCAAATCATTTTAACTTTTGTGGATATGTTTACAGCGCTTTACAGTATAATTCAGGACCAACACCGCACAGTGACACAAAGTGAGATATATCTGGCGTGGAGAGGACAGGTGCCGTGAAGGGGGGGGGGACTTACTAGGGGTGGAAGATGGTGAGCTCAGGTAGTGTTCAAATGAAGGGGGGCAAATCGACTCCCAAACTCCACCACAAGAGGTCAGGCTTGCATAGAGGAAAAACATTCACTCAGTCACTCCCCCCTATTGTAGCCTGACCCTGCACACCCGCCCACCACTGTCCAGGGAATGTATTCATGATTCATCAAGAGGGGAATCGCACCCTCGCGCTCTCCGTTCCATTTTTCGATCTGCTTGTTTTTCGTTTTCATCACAAAAGCAAAAAAAATGTGTTTAAGTCCAGGTTACAGCGGGCGCGTAGTTGGGCCCAAGCAGTGTGGAACAAAAGTCACATGGAGGAGCAAGCACGGGGGAAGACTGCAAAAACAAATATATGAGTTGAAAGGACTTAAAGTTTGAAAGTTGTTCTTGATTTGTGTAGTTTTGAGTAGGTTTGACTTGTTTTGTTTACTAGATCTAGATCATTTTCAGGATATTTGACTGGTTTGAAGATTTTATTTTCTTACTTAAAAGGCAAGAAATTATGCCAATGCACTAAAACGGTTTTATTTTAAATATTAAAAAGTACAATACGTTACTTTCTGAAAGTTGCACGTCACCTGCAGAAAGTTAAAACCACACTTTGGACCATTCTCTGTGAAGATGGTTACGTTTTATGCCATAATGTGAAAGAGAATAGCCAAAGGAACAACATTTTAAATGGAAAGACGCAGGCTGGTGAAGATGCAAGCCTGCTCAGAGTAAGAATTCATGTTTTTTGTCTATTTTTGGCTAAAAAGTTACACACAATTATATAATCTAGATCCGATATGTCCAAAAACAAAGTAAATCTAGTTAAAACTACTCAAATCAAGCCAAACATTCTTAATTCAAGTAATTTCAACTCATGCAGTCATTTTTGCGGTCTGACCTCCCCAACACGGAGTTCAAAACAAAGCTGCGGCGTCCCCGGCTACTCCCGACAGAGTTTCCCCTGACGACTGCCCGCCCCCGGACTCCAAGCCCCCGGACACGCCGCAGGCTCCGCCCCCGCTGGACTCCAGGGAGGCCGGGTCAAAGCCCGGCTCCGTCCCCACCAGCGCGTCCTCCTCCGTCTTGACGTTCTCAGGGAGGTAGGCGGAGTAAGCGTCGCTCTCGGCCATCAGCAGCTTGAGTTTGGGGATCCAGCTCTTGCGGACCACCCGTCTGGCGTTGGTGCACATGTCAGCCGCGATGGCGTTCATCTCGCTCTCCTTGAAGCTGGTGGCGAAGTTCTGGCAATAGACTGCGGGGGTGAGGAAACAAAAACAAGCATTAAAAATATTCATAAGGAGAAAATACAGAAAATTCAGGACTATAAGCCTCTAGATTTTTCTCACACTTTGAACCCTGTGGCTAATAAAACAATGCAGCGAATATATGGACGGATTCTTTGTTTGGCACATTTTCCATTCATATTTACGGTCTGTGGTAACACATCGGATCTGCGCGCAGCCTGAGTGGAGAAAACGCCGCTGTCTGTGCGGTTAACACATGGATCTAGGGTCAACATGAAGTTGCTACAATAGCTGGTGATATTTTCAGTGCACTCAAATAGCGGAATCAGTGAATCGATGGTGAGATTTTGGCGACGGCAGCGTGATGAACTGACTCAGTCCAAAAAGACGACAAAAGCTTTCAGAGGCAATAAAAGCAGACGGCCCGAACCTGACGATGTTTTTGAAGATGTGGACACCTGTGGCTTCTGTTCAGGCCTACAGTATATATGTACAATTTAAAAAAATTTGTAAAAATTTTGTAGATGGTATTCAGGTGCGCTCAGTAGTACGGATTTTACGGTAATCACTTTTTTTTTTACTTCATACTGATTGATTTTTGATTTATTTCATTTCAATAAACATGTTTTTAATAATAATAATAATGCATGTATATAAAAACATAAATTAACAATTAAATAACAAAATAATCAAAAAAGAATAAATGCATTTCAGTGAATAAACATATTAACCTTTTCAACTTCAGGGCCCAACTTTCTGTACATAAAAACATAAATTAACAATTAAATAACAAAATAATCAAAAAAGAATAAATGCATTTCAGTGAATAAACATATTAACCTTTTCAACTTCAGGGCCCAACTTTCTGTACAAAGTAACTTGAAGGCCAAGAAGGTGCAGACAAAGAAAAGCCGCCCCATCAACTCTATACATTATTATTTATGTTAGGAAATGCATTGCCTTCCCCCAACATCGACAAACCAATAAACTCTGTGTGTCCGTAAATGACCATGAATCAATTGTGCCCATTCACAAGAGCGAGATGGGGCCAGTTCAATTGTGTTTAATAAGATAACATTTGTTTTTCATTTAATTGTAAAGTATACCACATTATATGTACTTCAGTGTATACATTATGAGTAAGTTTGGACTCTGATCTGCACTCAGTGTGGGATAAATGGTGTCACCTAGTGGTTAGAACGCACTACAGCAGTCTTATCCCCCATCCCATCTATGACATAAGCATGAGTCTGCATTCAGTGAGTCCATTTTAGGTAACTCACTGAGGCATTTCAGTTCACATGGCTATAAATGTGACATTATTTTGACAGTTTAAAAACCTGCTCTATTCATTCACTTTATCATAATACTTACATTTGACTGCGTGTAGCACTCTGTTGTCCAGTGGCTTTCTGCTGGGGTCATTGGTGGAGGAGCGGATGCCAGTTCCACAGCTGTTAGCCAAAGTATTTCTGAAATATCAAAAAAAAAAAAGTATTTATTCACATTTATTGTATCTGCAGACAGTGCTCATTTGGATGACAGCACTTGCTGTTTTTATTAATTTATTAAAAGGAACTGTATGTAAGATTTAGATTTTAAATTCCATAATTATGACACAACTGTGTCCCCAGATATGAGGTAAACATATTCAACTCAAATATAGTTTTTACTAATAACTGTAATGTTCATTCATGTTCATGTTTATTTGTAATTATTATAATTTATAATTTGGTGTTTCGGTCTCAAGATGATTATCCAAGCTAATGTAGTTTTAGAAAACTTTATTCATCCCAAAGGGCAATTCATTTGTAGCTCCACAGCTCCACAGCCGACACTCAATTATTATCATGAAAACAAGATAGAAGACACAAGGTAATGGAAAAGAAGTCGATGATAAGAGAGAGAGGAGTAAGGAAAGTACAATAGATTAACAGTGGTTCACCTCTGTGTTTAGCAGCTTATCTCTGAAGGAATAAAAGACAGCAGATAGTGATTTGTTTTGGCTCAGGGCACATTAGAGTGCTGCTCGGACGGCATCACTGACAACTCTGTGGACAGGATGTGCTCTGGTTGGCCAATGATACGTCTGGCTTTTCCTGTCACCCGTTTCCTTCAGAGTGCCAATCAGACCAATCAGAAAGCAGAGTGAGTGTCACATGACTCTTTCATTTGGGTTGCCAGTTTCAATGTTGAAATCCAGTTGGTTTAAACCTAAAAAGACTCTTTGTTCTGAATTGTCAATAAACCCCAGCACCTGAGTCAGTGCCTCAGCCTCTGCAGTGAATTCTGGAGGTTCTGAGTTTTCACATGAGGCCTGGTCTGTCCACATACTGAGAATGAGAAAAACTTGTATGTGTCCTCTATCTGCAGGTTAAGGCACTGGTGACATAGGCTGTGATAGTAGCTCTACATCCTTTGATTATTATTTTGCAACGCTTCATCGACCTTTTACCACATGTAAAGACTTGGGCATTTGGACTGAAAAGAAATAGATTGAAATTCTGTCTCTACTCATTTTAGATTTTCCTTAATGACAAAAAGTCAACAGTTCATCACTAATATTTTGTTAACAGAAATATATATTAGCTTTGTCCTCAAATCAACGGGTTAGATGATAACTTCATTGACGTAAAGTAACGAAATAAAAATAAACACAGCCTGCAGCTAACTTTGAGCACACTTTTATTTGCACATAAAAGCTGAAGTGCTAAATCGATTTAAAAGCAGGACAGAAATAGGCACAGACCTGTCAAAGAAGGCAGCCAGCAGCCTCCGCAGCAGCACCTTGTGTCTGGTCCCCGCGCTCACATGACAGTTCATCAGCTGGGCGCGCGTGATGTACACCGACGTACCTGGGCACACACAAGAACACAGTGAGAATGAACGGCTTATTTCAGGTTTCGGGGCAGGGCAAAGCGGCTTAAATTTGCACCACAATATAAAAGAGAACATTTCTAATAAAGGCGGCTTCTAAACTATTTGTACTTGTTTCAAACTATTTAAAGCGCCCATATTATACCATTTTCTGATCTATGTTATAATGTTAGTTGTCTTTAGTTTCATTCACACATGTTTAACTCAATAATTCTGTATTATATAGCAGCTCATCAACACAAATATAAATGTAAAAATTTTAATATTTACATACATTATTCCTACAAACAGCGGGTCACTAATGGCTACAGTGCTGACTCGGTTTAATCCATTTCTTAAAGTTGAAATTAAAACATCCCACACTCCCTCACAGACACAGGTACAGCAGTGACAGGCCCCTGCTGCTTTGACCGAGAAGCAGTTCTGTCCAAATGTGGTGGACCTTAAGTTCACTTGCCAGGGATGTAACAATAACCGAAATATTGTGATATCGTATCGTCAAAGTTCTCACAATAATATCGTGGACCATCACAATATATCGAATTACAAGCCTCTTTGCTTAAATTAAGAGTTATGGTGCAGCAATAGCTAAAAAAAAAAGACAGAGGGAACTACATAGACCATGATCCTTTGCTCCATTTTAGTGCAGACTACAAGAAGAAATAACAGTTCTAAGCACTTTTAAGTCTTAGTTCTTTGGATTAAATCTTGTCAAGGCATTTAAAGAGGAAAAAGATATAGCAATAAATATCGTACCGTGCGATGTATATTGTGAAAATATTGTACTGAGAGATCTGGATATTGTTACATCCCTAATTATTGATTGATTGATTGATTTTTATTTATTTATTTATCTATTTATGTATTTTCCATGTATAACAATAAAAAAACCGCAGTAGATAAAAAGTAGGTGCAGGAAGAGGCAAAAAATCCAAATTGTAATCACTAATCCCAATCCTCCGCACCATATCATATGTGAGCTTTCCCACGATATTGCAATAAATATCGTACGGTGAGGTTCATACCGTGATGATATCGTATCGTGAGACTTGGATATCGTTACACCTCTACACTCTGCTCTAGAGGAGGCGCTGGTCCTGACTCCTGCTTCTTCACACCATCTCACAAACACTGGAATAGGTTTGGGCGGTAATACAGTATTACAGTATCCCGCGGTATCAAAAAGTAACAACGGTATCAAAAAATAAATAAATAAATAAAAATCTGCAGCTCATAAGGACCTATAATAGTATAATTGATATATTGATACCTAAATTTGTTTGCTCAGCACAAATTAATGTGTGGTTGTATTTTCAATTTAATAATATCAAGATTTAAAACTAATAGAGTCTATAATGCTTCTTTTATCTGCGTGGGGAGATGACACTCGATTAGTTTCATTCCGTTGTCTCGTGAGGTTCATAAGGGAGACTAAGAAGTTGGCAAGTCCGGCCGCAAACGAGTTGGTGCCAAAAAAAAAATACTAGTACTTCTGCAGCATTTTGGCTTCAGGTGCAAATTTGTTTAGATTTTACAGAAATGAAACTTAAAACTGCTCATTTGGCTCATTTGCATAAACTATAAAGCGTTGATAAAAACAGCTCGCTCTTTTTGCGCTGATGCGTCAGATTCTGCCGGACTTCAGGACACGACTCAGTGGAATATGAGTGTTCTTTCTGTGATGGTGAGTCTGTTCTGTGCTTCTGTCCCGCTGGAGATGGTTCATGCGAAACTTTTCAGAGATTATAAGTCTGCAGATCATACGTATAGACCGTATAGTGGTATAGTGAATTCGTAGCTTACCAAAGTCATACTAAAATATTTTGGTAATACTGTAGTATCGTATACCGCAGTAAAATCCTGAGAAAGTTTAATGCAGACATGTCAAACTCAGGCCCGGGGACCAAAGTTGGCCCATGATATAATTATATTTGGCCTATGAGATCATATCAAACATGTATTAGAGCTGACTGCCGGCTACAGATAGACTATAGAGACATTATTTATTTAATATTTTGTTATTATTTTATATTATGCTTGATCTGGATTCAATGTTTAAGCAACACTATTATTAAACATTTATTTTAATTAAAAAAAGGTTTAAAATTACATATCTGGAAAAAAAACCTGCAGATGTTGTTGAAATTTTTCTATAAATATTGAGTTTGGCCCACAACTTAATTTCAGTTTTTAATTTTGGCCTCTGTGAATTAGAGTTCGACACCTCTGGTTCAAGGGTATAAAAATTTGGACACCGCCCAACCCTTGCCTGGATGTGAGACTAATGTAAGACTAACAGGATTAACAGGACATTCTTGAAAGTTTATTTTATATTCCTTAACACTGCATGTGACATTGGTTTCTTATCTAAGTTCTTGAGTGTTTGTTTGTACAGCTCGCATGTTGGAAAAGGTTACATGCAGAGTTTGTTGCCAGTCACCACGTTGTAAAGCAATAGGTAAAATGTGAAAATATCATTGAATGCATGGTCTTTGCTCACTTATAGTCATCAGTCTGTAAAAGAAATCACATGCACCAACAGGAAACAAGTGAACTATATTGTCTAATCTAGTCACACTATGCCATAAACTTTAGTGAATCATTTCAAATCTAAACAAATCTACAGAAATTTCTAATAAAATGAAGAAAAAAAAAAACATATGACTAAACATAAGTCACTACAGGCCTACACAACGTTACGATAGCTGTTGTGCCAGGCAGTCCCGGGGTGCGAGACGTAAACATTGGTCACATGGGCGGTAAATGTGCTGCGTGATCGGAATGCCCGTGCCAAAGCCCAGGCATCTCGCTCACTGTGCATATGTGTGTATGTACGTGCCAGCGCCAACACCCCGGTATCAGTGTGTTACCAGTGAATCACAACGTAAACATGTGAAGTGAATCAGAGCCATTGGACGGAGAGGTGGGAGGCGTACAGATTTCTACATAAATATTGATTCAAAGATATTGTGAAACTGCAGCTGTGGCACTTACGTTAAAGGTGACTTTTTTTAGTGGAGGCCCCAGCAAATGCTTTTCACCGTGCAGATGTTATTGCTTTGGTCAGAAATAAACCTGTCTATCTTCATGGAAACCAAACTAGACGAAGTTACAGGTCAGATCTGTGGAGAGGCAACCCCGCTCACAGTCAGAACACCTGTTTTTGTAAGTACTTTTGAGCTATAAAACCATCTGTGATCGAATAAATGTCAAGTTAAGTTGTTTAATGTCATACTGTGGAACATTCCAGGCAGAGCAATGACATCTCCATAGAAACAAGCACGCGATATGTGAGTTACATAATACACCTTTAAAATACCAACTAAACAGACACTTCACATGTTAGAAAATACAAAATACATTGTGCAAAATTCATGTTTTTTTGTAGGGATGCACTGAAACAATAATGGTATCGGATATCGGTGCCAGTGCAGGAAAATTTGATCAGATATCGCTTCTGTGGTATCGGTTCAGCCAGTATCCTAGGCCAAAGATGTTCATTTTGTCTTCTTATGTACTTTAACTTCTTGGGTTCTTTTTAAAGACGATGCAGTAAAGTGTATTTACCTTGTTGACATGTTTCGGCTGCTCGCTGCTGTCGTCTTCAGAACAATATCCTGTTTGGGCCTTTAACCCTCTTCAGGCAGGCGTTGCAGATTTGCAACAGCTAAATTCCAATTACCTACTTACTCTAAATCCATATTTTATGAGCTTTTTTTTTTACTCAGGAGCCTTTTCTCCCATCCATGCTGATAAACGTGGGCGATGCAGACTGTGCAAGAATGACTACACACAAACGGCCTGCCAGAAGTGCAAAATACTTTTTTTGTTTACAAAGGATAAAAAAGTCAGGATTGTATATTACTACCCCATATTATAATTTTCCCCAAATATCAGATTTTTCCTGATACTAAAAATTAATTTGAGCCTGAGAGGGTTAATTTAACGTATTCTATTTATTGAGTGGCTGATCTACACCCAAAACAACTCATACTATTGAAACTTTAATTCCTATTACTGTAATTACTTGCAGGATAAATATCAGTAACATACTCAACTGAATCCATTTTGTAGTAAGTTCACTGTGTTTAAAGAGAACAAAAGCAATTTTCAGCTGGCATCTGCTGGTATTGTATATCAGAAAAGCCAAAATATCAGTATTGGAATTGAAAAAGCTGGATTGGCGCATGGCTAGTTTGATGTCGGCAAGTGAAACATCCACAGACATCTACAGAAAAGAAAACTACTAAGAATTTGTTTGAAGAGTTACACTACTGGTCAAAAGTTTTAGAATGCCACAATTTTTCCAGTTTTTTACAGTCTACTGTTGACTAAAAGGTATTCTAAACTTTTGATTCATCTTTGGCAGATATAACAGCTGAACACACTCGTGGCTCGTTCTTTTTGCAATAGAATTCAAATATTCTTCAGAAAGTTCTTCCCAAGTCTGTTGCAGAAGTTCCCATAAATGTGTGGCACTTGTTTCTTGGCTTTCACTCTTCTGTCCAGTTCATCCCAAAACCAGCTCGATGGGGTTTAAGTCTGGAGACTGTGCTGTTCTTTTTTTCCTGAGGTAGTTTTGGCAGAGCTTGGACTTGTGTTTTGTTATATTTTATTATTTTTTTAACCTCTGTCTGTTCAGTTCTTCCCTTTGTACCATTTTAAGCTCTTTAATGGACTTGCACGACTTGAATTGCAATAAATAACTGGAAAAATTAGGGTGTTCTAAAACTTTTGACCAGCCAAAGTATCTGTAGCGGAACTGAAAAAGCTGGATCGGTGCGAGGCTAGTTTGATGTCAGAAAGTGAAACATCCGCAGACATGGATTTGCTAAAATAAAATAAAAAGCAAACTAGAAAAAAACAAAAACAAAAACAAAAACCAGTAACAGTCCTACTAAGAATTAGTTTGAAGAGTTAGTTCTAAAAAATATTTATAAATGTACTTCATTTACACATAATGGGACCAAACTAAACATTTAAACTTCCCCTTCAAACACATTTCAAATAGAGCTGTTAAACTGGGCAGAACCTGGAGGACTAAAGAAAAGAGTGACGGGGGGAGGAGGGGCAGGTGTGGACATATGAGGAAGTGTGTGATTGGTCTGACACGTATCCACACTTTGACCCCCTGCAGCCAGGTGACAATCAAACACGTAGCTTTAATCAGTAGTAGTTGTTGTACTGGTAGTAGTTATATGTGATGTCTCATAGCACTTGAAATTTCAGTGGCCATTAGAGGTAAAACACACACTTAGTTTTTGATCGTTTTTGAATACAAAGCTGCAATTGTACAGTCTGATTCATCAGTCGGTTTCACTTCGTAGAAACCATCTGACCTCCAGCGTTAGGATTAATTAATTAAGAGGGAACTTTTTTTCATTTAACCAATCGCCAAAAATTTCCCAAATTCCGTAGGAAGAAGGGGAATAACGTCTTTCCCCTTGATAAAATTCACCAAACATTCTTTTTATTCCGGCTTTAAATCCTCGATCTTAGGAATCGTTGCCAACACAAAATGTATGGCTCTTCGCTGATTGACTGGTGGCCGAACTCGCACTTCCGGGGTTTTTGTGAACCGTCTAGTGTATTCTGATTCCTGACCTAGTCGCTGGAAGAGAAATGAAATTGAGCGGAGGCACTAGGTGGTGCGGTGTACCCAGTTTGCACTGAAATTCCCAATAAAAGTCTAGAAACAGTGGACATCAGTTATACAGTTAAAGGTGCATTGTGTAACTTTTCTGGTGGAGGGTCTGTCAAATGGTTTTCTCCATGGAGATGTTACCACTTTCACAGTATAGTATTAAACCTTTCTATCTTCCTGAGACCAAACTAGGCCAAGTTACAGGTCAGATCTGGTATTTCTGAGCTTTAAAAATGACCTGTAATTGAATAAATGTAAGATAGAGCTGTTTAATGTCATACTGTGGAACATTCCAGGCAGAGCAATGACATCTCCATAGAAACAAGCAGGTGATGGACTCAAACTAAAAGTTACACAGCGCACGTTTAAAAATCAAAACTCTTCACTATAAACTATTGTGTGTTGAAACTTCAGATGAATAATTTTTTGGACAAATCTATTAAAAAAAAGACTCGGAATATGAAGAGAATTCCAAACGCGTCTTACCTGAGACTAGCTCGAGCTTCTCAGCGGGGTCACCCTCCTCGTAGAGTTTGGGGTGACAGCGGTTGCCGATCTGTGCGATGAGCTCAGCAGGCAGACAGGTCAGGTCCCGCCCCCTCATACGCCCGCGCGTCTCTGTGTGGTCGGGCAGGGCTTCCACGCGCTCGCCGGTGGCTGCACGAGGAAACAGTTCATCGTTAACAGATTCATTTTGTTCATCTTGTTTTCAGTTTCGATAAGTGTCTGGCAAAGAGAATGGAAAATTTTATGGGCTTGTCTACATGTTCATAATAAATATTTCCTCGTCTCCATGGAGATTTACCTGGTATGTACCACGGAATAGCATTAAACTTATCTTCAAGCTATTATGTTTTAGGAATAAACATCTATAACTGAATAAAGAGGATTAATTCTGTATCTATGGAGATATATACACAAGTTTAATGCCATACTGCAGAACATTCCAAGAGAAGCAATAACAGCTCAATGGAGACAATCAGATGGCAGCAGGTGTGTAGTGGGTGTGGTACACGGGGGCACACCATCCACCCACTTTTCCCGACATGAGATACAAAAAAATATATATAAAAAAGCTACAACTTAAATGTCAAACCAGAGCTTTTGGCAACGGAGAAAACAATGAAATCTGCAGGACTGTCCTATAGAGACCTAAGGAGGGACCAGGACTGAACCAGGACTAAACCAGGACTAAACCAGGACTAAACCAGGACTAAACCAGGACTAAACCAGGACTAAACCAGGACTAAACCAGGACCGGGAGAGGCCTGGAGGTGTGCCTGCGTAGACCGTCGGGTGACCACAGTCCAAGATTAGTCCTGGTTCAGTCAGGGTTCAGTCAGGGTTCAGTCCTGGTTTAGACCTGGTGTAGTCCTGGTGTAGTCCTGGTGTAGTCCTGGTGTAGACCTGGTGTAGTTCTGATGTAATCCTGGTTTAGACCGGGTTTAGACTGGGTTTAGACCGAGTTTAGACGTGGTTCAGACCTGGTTCAGACCTGGTTCAGACCTGGTTTAGTCCTGTTTTAGTCCTGGTTCAGACTGGATTCAGTCCTGGTTTAGTCCTGGATTCAGTCCTGGTTCAGACCTGGGTTTAGACCTGGGTTAGACCTAGTGTAGTCCTGGTGTATTCCTGGTTTAGTCCTGGTTTAGACCTGGTTTAGTCATGAATCTAATAGGACACAATACAATAGGACAAACATATTGATTTGTTTTAGGGGGTTATTGGGGGGGTAAGCAAAATGAACAATTACTTTCAAAAATAATTTCTGGTCATTTGTTTCTAGTGAATAAGACAGTGCAGTTTATCCGTTTGCTTGGTTGTTTATTTTTATGTACTTGATGTTCTCAGTAAGTGTAGGTACAACATAAGTGCAGTTACCTGCGGCCCCCATGTTGAGCATGCTGTACATGGTGTACATGTTGCAGATCTGCCTGTACTGCTCTTCGGCGCTCTCGTCCGCACCCTCCTCCTCTTCCTCATCGTCATGGTAACTGATGGGCGAGTCGCTGGCGTAGGTACTCAGGGTGCCCGGGCTGGCTCCGTCGGATATGCCCAGACCCGCCGGCGCCGCGTTGCCATTGGTGCCCCCATTACTGCCCCCCAGGCCGCCCACCATCCCCGCCAGGCCCGAGGCTGTGGCCCCCATGCCCATCGCCAGTCCCAGGGCTCCGGGACTCTGGATGGCGCTGCCCCTCACCGCGTCCTGGGAGTATCGTGCCGCTTTCCTGGCCCCGCCCCTCCCCCTGAACCGGCCCCGCCCCCGTCCCGCACGCTGCCGCCCTCCCATAGGCGTTTGGCGACCGGGGTGCACACCACGGAGTAAGGGGTGGCAGCTTCGGGCTGGCCGGGCTGCTCCGTCTTCACGCGGGACACTAGAGGTAGAGGGGTGACGCTGGCCGCAGGTCGGGACACGCCGTTACTGGTCTGGGTGACGGGGCTCTGGGGCTCCGAGGTGGGGGCCTCTTCTGTGTGGAGGCCCTGGGAGTCACAGCTCGGAGAGGACACCTAAAGGGAGACGCGCACACATTAGAACATTGTACAGAGGTTCCATTGGAGGTTGGGCTCAGATGACATGATAAAGAGATAACTGGTTAAATGTAGGGGTGTAACGATATCCAAGTCTCACGATACGATATTGTCACGGTATGATCCTCACAGTACGATATTTATTGTGATATGGTGGGAAAGCTCATGATTAGGGATATAACAATATCCAAAACTCTTGGTACGATATTTTCACGATATACACAGGGTCTTAAAAGTCTTAAAAAGGTCTTAAATTTCATGTTCCCAAATTAAGGCCTTAAATAGTCTTAAATTACGTTGTCCAAGTCTTATTTTTTTGACAAAGGTCTTAAATTTCATTAGCCTGTTTTTTGTATACTCAACCGGGCTGTAGTGCGATGTGAAATGGGGTAAGAAAAAAAACAAAAACAACGTGAAACCATGTAACGTGAATGAACGTCTAATTTGGAGTATGCGCAAACATTACAGTGGCAATGAGTAAACAAACAGAGTGGAGGAAGACGTCGGATGGATCATGGGGAAGTGTCGGTTTAATCCACAGTGACTCTCAGATTCTAGATGTAGTAGTTGGTTTGTCATTATTAGAATTGGATCTGGTGTTTTTCATCCACACAGTGGGTGCGATGTTGGTCTTAATATTCATTTAAGTGGTTTTAAAAAGGTTTTAAAATAGTCTTAAATTTGTGGTAGTCAAACCTGGGGATATCCTGATACATCTCATGGTACGATATTTATTGCAATATTTTGTGGAGGTTAACAATCCTAACCTCTTAAAATGCCTTGACAAGACTTAATCCAAAGAACTAAGACTTAAAAGTGCTTAGAACTGTTATTTCGTCTTGTAGTCTGCACTGAAATGGAGCAAAGGATCATGGTCTATGTAGTTCCCTGTCTTTTTTTAGCTACTGCTGCACCATAACTCTTAATTTAAGTAAAGAAACTCGTGATTCGATATATTGTGATGGTCCACGATATTATTGTGAGAACTTTGACGATACGATAACAAGATTTTTCTGTTATTCGGTATAGTTAAAAGGTTCCAGTACAGATTGTATTGCAGCTTTTGAGGTCAAAATATGTCTGCAGTATACTATCTGCACCCAATTATAAAGCATTTATTATCAGGAAGTGCACGTGAGCATGCTAGTTGTTGTTAGCATTACCATGAAGCCACTCTGGTCTCGGAAAAAGTTGTGAAAAGATAAAAATGCTTTGTAATATTTCTGACTGTACATCTCATTAAAGAAAGCACACCCTCTTTAATTGTGTCTTAATTTCTGTCCGCTGCTTTACACACTCAAACCACAATTTATTTACCTGCTTCTTCAACAGCAACATTTGATCTACATTTTATAATCACATGACCTGTTCTGACCTGGTGTTCCGTTCGCACATACAGCACAAGTCCCTGCAGAGTCCCAGCAGCACGTGTACATACATGTCTCCAGATGAACAGGGAGAGGCTGTGTGCACTCAACAATACAACTCTACACTTCCCTCATGTCCTAATCGCACAAGAAATCACATTAAGCTCAAGCTACAGGCCCACAGGCATGTCTGGATCGCCTGTCATAGGGACTCTGTGGTCACTCATTTACTGCTCGGTTTCTACAGTAATCATATTGTTACATACAGAGATGGGCAGGTAAAATGCGAAAATGCTGATTTTTGTTGTAATACAGTTATTGGGTCGAGCCACTAATGGTTCAAATCAGGTTCAAAATTTGGGAATTTACCTTTTGGACATTTCAATCTCTTGAGCCTGACATCTCCACACTGTAGTATTCTAGTGAAACCCACCAATACTCCACTAATGTGTCTGTTGGCTTTTTATCAAATAATTCCCCATTATTGAGTAACACAATGATATACAACATGATCATAAAATAAGACAGTTTTATATGGGACACATCTGATAGAAGTGTCTCCAGAAATGCACACATACGTCGGACACATTTCTCCGTGCCTTCAGTCTGAGAGCTCATGTGTGCAGTCACTTGAGTTCTAAATGTTCAGCTTTATAAACAGTGACTGAATAGTGACATACACACTGCTGTGCTGCAACAATGAAAGCATTTATTTATTACTACTATTATTAGTACTGGTACCCTGTGTACTGTTCCCTCTGGGGTTTCAATTAGAGATTGACTAATATGTTTTTCTTCATGGCTGATTCTGATTAGCCTGATTCGTCTTCCGGTTTCACTTCATAGAAACTGTCTGAACTCGCAGCTTTAGGATTATTTTGCTCGACGATAGGCAGGTACTTTTTTTTATTTAACCAATCGCTGCTATTTGGTAGTAACGTATGTAAAACTCCGCTACCGGGGCTAACTGGTATATTAAGCTTTTCCCAAATCCCAATGGAAGAAGAGCAATAATGTCTTTCCCCTTTATAAAATTCACCAAACATTCTCTTTGTTCCAGCTTTAAATCCTCGATCTCGGGAATCGTTGCCAAAACAGAATGTATGGCTCTTCGCTGATTGGTTAGTGCCCGAACTCGCACTTCTGGGGTTTTTGCGAACCGTCTAGTGTATTCTGATTCCTGACCTAGTTGCTGAAGAGAAATGAAATTGAGCGGAGGCACTAGGTGGCGTGAGCCTGGCTAGATTCTGATACCAATTGTTTTGAAATCAGAACACCTGATGGCCCATAAGCTCTGCAGTATTTTAGGCCCCAATGTGTAGGCCTGATCTGATGATTTTCCTTAAATTGTAAACACTAAAATAGCAAAACAAACTTATTTCGCTTTAGTGCAAAAAAAAAACCCCTAAGAGCCACTAAAGAGTTTGTGATTTACTGTTCCCCAGGGAGGCACTCTACCACCACATCAGGCAGTCAGAGCTCCCGCACAGCTCACAGGAGTCATGACTTTAGAAGGGCCACATGTGGTATGGGAGGATCTGTCATTATCATTATCATTATACATCTGGAGACATGGGCACAACCTTCAAAGGACATTAAAACATTGGCCCCTCACACATAAAGTTGTGGTTTACTTGTGGTACCTTGAGGAAGAACTCGGTGCCCTTCTCCATGATCTGCTGTATCTGGAGGAACCCGGCGGTGTACATGAGGAGGAACTGGTCTCCCACGGTCATGCTGAGGCGCCCGGTGTAGCAGAAGGACAGGATCTGCTGGAAGCTCTGGGGCTGCACGGCCGGGGGCAGCTCCACCACGCTGGGGCTCACGTCACCGGAGCATCCCCCCGACCCCGAGCCTCCACCCGAACTGCTGCTGCTGCTGCTGAACAGGTCCCGGAAGTAAGCACTGCTGGCGGCTAGAACGGCACGGTGGGCCTGGGGGGAAGAGGGGAGGGGGGGTTTCTGGTTAGCATTTACGATGTGATGTAGATGGTGTGGTCAATATTGTTCTATATAGCAGGAGCTTGCCTGGTGTCTGAATACTTGTATCAGTACTTTTGCAAAGGTTGGGTAATGTCCAAATAAGATACTTCAAACAATACTTGGTTTGATACTGGTACTCGTAATGATAATAGTAACGGAATAAACCAATGTTTCAATATAGGAGTGTACAAAAATATTGATATATCACAGGGGTCTCCAACCTTTTTCCTCCAGTGAGCTACAAAACAAAACCCCAGAGAGCTACAAATTTTAGCGGTCACAAGAAATTTTGTATATAACAGAGCCACGGCAAGCCTTAGATGAAGTACAGTTAGATTAGGGGGACCAGACGTCCCTATTTCCCTGGGACAGTCCCTGTTTTGAGCCCTGTGTCCCCTGTCCCAGCAGATTTATCCAAAACCACTGATTTGTCCCAGTTTTATACAAGAAATGTCCCAGGAGTCTATATTTTTGACCAATTTGATCCCTGTCCACAGTAAAAAGAGGCATAAATTGTCATTTGTTTGGGTAAAATACAGAGAAGCTGCTTAAAAATGACCAAAACATAAAGAAAATGTGACTAGTCAGTATAGAAAAGTTTTAATTAATTACGCACTTGCTTCACAATTTTATTTCCAACCACCTCAAACCAGGGGTGTCCCAGTTTTTGAGTTTGAAAATCTGGTCCCCCAATGTTAGATGCCTATAAAATATACTGTATTTTCCACACTATAGGGCGCACTTAAAAGCCTTTAATTTCATCAAAAACGACTGCGCGCCTTATAATCCAGAGTGCCTTATATATGAATATGTTCAGGTGTCTTAGTATGACTTTAGTAAACTACAAAGCCACAACACTTGCAGCATTACAGCTTCCGTAGTCAGGAGCATCGCGGAGTAACACATACTGTGTTTCCTTTTAATATCAAAATGCACCTGTCAAGAGACACGCTCACAATGCAGACTTTAAACTCAAGGCTGTTATAAAGTGAAAGTGCGAGCTGCGTGGGAGCAGTGGATGAGAGAAGGCGAACACACATTCACCAAGACAGGGAGACAGCACCAAGTGACTTACACCACGATCTGCCAACAAATCGTGGACGCCTTGGCTAAGGATCAGTATCAACTGTGGTCCGAGCTTTCACCAAGACCAGAATCATCACTGAACTGCCAGGGAACAGTAACCACACTGACTCGGATAATGACGAGAGGGATGCGGGCGGGATGGACGCCGTAATTGCCCAACTGTTTGAACAATTATGAATTATTGTGAAAACACTAACAATTTAGTGCTGTCAGAGAGTATTTTTTTTAACACGTTACAATTGAACAAAGTTGAGAGTTATTGTGAATGCATTAAATAAAGTTTGACTGACTTATCTAACTGTTGTGTTTCGTTTAATGCGCCTTATAGTTGTGGTTTATATGTGAAAAAAGTTCAAAAATAGACCATTCAATGACCTTATAATCCAGAGTGCTCTATAGTGCGGAGAATACGGTACTATTACTAGAATTAAAATACTACAATTAAAAAAATAAATAAATACTGCAACACTTTCAATTTACATGTGTCTACAACAACAAATCTAATGTTATATTATTTGATTTGCTGTTGAAGTTCTCAGGACGTGTCAGAGACATAAGGCTAGCGCCACCTAGTGTCTCCGCTCAATTTAATTTCTCTCCAGCGACTAGGTCAGGAGTCAGAATGCACTAAACGGTTTGCATGAACCCTGGAAGTTGTAGATCGTGCACCGGCCAATCAGCGAAGAGCTGTGAAGCCATGACGTCAAACTCGTCGCGCCTGTCTGTCCCTTTTGTGGTTCAGCACAACAGTAAACAAAACGTCGAAATGGATGTAGACGAACACAAACATTCTGTGTTGGCAATGATTCCAGAGATCGAGGATTTAAAGTTGGAACAAAGAGAATGTTTGGTGAATTTTATCAAGGGGAAAGACGTTGCCTTTCTTCCTACGGGATTTGGCACATTACATATGTATGATACATGTACAGTGGTGAAATTAATCAGGTTTAATTATTCAGGCACAATACGTTTAATGTGTAATTCAGAAATCCCTTGGTGAGCTACTGGGAAGGGGGTGGAGAGCTACAGGTTGGAGACCCCTGATTTATCATGATACTAACTTTGGTGACACAGTATTGTTATCATATTGTCTCGTGATGTGTGATGGAGATATGAAATGTTGTTCCTTTTGTACAGCTGAATAAAAAAACTAATTTCCTGGCGGGGACAATAAAGTAAGTAACTAACACGACAATAACAGGGTATAATAATAACTCTTAAATTCAGATTTTGAAGTTCTTTGAGCAAAATTGTTGTTTTTAACATTTTACTTTTTGCTTTTTCCTCTTAACATTTTGAAAATCCGGTGTTTTGTAACATTTGAAATTATTCACAGCTCTACTCATAGCAGTAAGTATCAATTTATTCTCTACTCTGAGAAGTGTGCACTGAGTACATGTCTATTGTCTGCTGTGGTTTCTGCACTTGATGTGAAAGTTTTCTGTATTGCTATCATTTCCTGTATAAAGGTGAAATTAATATCTAAATAAGACTATCACGTAAACTATGATTTAGTAATCGTCATTTTAAAAAGGGCCCATGTTAGGCTATTTTGTTTCATTCACACATGTTTAACACACAAACCCTACATATTTATGTTCTTCTCTCCAACAGAAAACACACTGTTCCACCTTGTGATGTCATGTGGTCATACAGGAAGTCCTCTGGTGTGTTTTTAAAGTCCATACACCTTCACTAGAATCATATGGATAATTTTAGCCCTGGAATTGCCAATCTCTACTGAATTAAAGGTAAGATGAAGCTCTTAACTTGAAAACTACTGCTTCATGACATCACAAGGTGGAACTGAGCATTTTGAGCTGGAGATGTAGAGAGACTAATGATAAAGGGTTACTCAAACATGTGTGAATGAACCAAAACACAACTCCAGGTCTGTTTTTGATGAGGTAATAGAAGTCTAACATGGCTTAAAGCTCACAAGAGTCAAGTTTGCATAATTTAAGACCTTTAACAACACAAAATGGTGAACTCTGGTACCTTAAAAGTGTGTCCTTTGACCACCACAGAGACGTCACAGTAGAGCCCCTGCAGCCTCTGCTCGTTCAGACACTCCAGGACGTTGTTGCCGAAGTTTGGGATCGCCATCTGGAGGGTCTGGGCCATGGTGCGCCGAGCACACCTCGAATCAGTCTGTGAACACAAGGAAAGATCAGCTCAGTGCGTGGAACAGGAGGTGACGATGTCCAAATCCACTGTGCAGTTTGGGCACAGTGTTAAAACTAGGTACAAGATTTACTCTAGTATTGAAGGGAATCTCATGGTATTTGCGAAGTACTAAGGCTAGGGTTCGGATCAGGTATCAGTCCAATCCAATCCACTTTTTTCTATAGCGCATTTCATAAACAAATAGTTACCAAAGTGCTGCACAAATACATAACAACAACAACAATAATAAAATGATAAAATAAACACTCAGATTTAATCACACTCGTCTTAAAATAACAAAACCAGTAATCCCTTAATATGAGTTCAGCATATCCTGGTTGGCCCTTTAATTGGATGTAATGAGACTATTTACTGACTGATGTAGGTCCAGGATGTCTCATAATGTTTGCACTTTATTCTCATGCAAAGCTGGTCAAAGGATGGACTAAAAGGATAAATAAGAGTTACACAACACAACTGGATCAATCTTTTAACAAGTTTTTGAGATTGGCAGATACTTCCATCTTTTTCAGTTCTAATACCGATGTCGATATTATACCTGTAGCCACAAATATCAAAAATCAGGTACTAATCGACGAAAAACTAGTATTGAAACTAGATACTCATTTGAGCAGGTATCAAGACTAAAAAAAACCAATACACATTTACAGGACAGAAATTAACTTTAAAAGCTTTAGAATGATCCTGAGGGATTACACAGATATAAGAATACATGATAATATAAAAGAGAATACTATTATTTAATCCTGAAAATCACATTCTATCATCTAAATAAAGTGTTTTTATTATCCTTGCAGTACCAGAATCAGTACTGAGTAAGGAGTCTATTCCTTAGTATCGAAATTGAGTTTGAAATTTTAGTATTGTGACAACACACATCATATTTCAAGGCTAATTTGTTCATTATAAGAACCGTTTGGCCAAAGATTTACATGGCCTTGGTTATTTTTTGGTAGCAATGTTTAATTGTACTAGCCCTCACTAGCTTATCTTAGTAAAGTCAAAGTCAAAAGTCAAAAACTTACAAATATAATACAGTTTTGTGAGGTAGCACAATTTTAAAGATTTAAAATATCTCATTCTCGGTTGGATTTCTTTAAAAGGTACACGTTTAACTTTTTGATTCGGGGTCTGTCACCTGTTTATTTCTGTGGACATGCCATTGCTCTGTCTAGAATGTTCCACAGTATGACATTAAACAGCTCTATGTTATATTTATGCAATTACAGGTGGTTTTACGGCTCAAAAATACCTAGAAAAAAGAGAAATTCTAAGTTTGAGCAGCGTTTAACTTGGTCTGGTTTGAGCAGATCTAGCGTTTAACTTGGTCTGGTTCACTAGAAAGGTTAAATACCAAACTGTGAAATATTCCAGATGAAGCAATAACACCTCCAAGAAGAAAAACATTTGACAGTCCCTCCACCCGAAAAGTTACACAACGCGCCTTTAACTTCCAAACACTGCCTCCTCCATCTTGGTGCTGTACACTTCAAACGCCCGTGGCCTTAACTGGGTCACGTTGTGTTGTTCTATGTCAAATGCATGAGCAAGGAGCCTAAAAATAAAGTGCACATCCTCTGTTCGCATCACCAAACGTCCCCCACGCAGATACTGGGACACGTCCACACACTCCTAAGGACTCGTGTCATGCCACTGTGCCGAGCTATATCCTGTTATTCCACTGGGACGAAATGTAACCGAGAGCCACAAAAACAGGAACACGGACATTTACTTGATATTTTTTATCAATTTAATCGCAAAGTTGAGTCATTTTAAAACGTCCCATATTACACAATTTTCTGATCTGTGTTATAATGTTGTTTCCTCATCACAAACAGACCTGGAGTTTTTGTTTTGTTCCATTCACACATTTTTAAACACACAAACCCTGCATATTTAAGCTGAGTTTTTGTGATGTAACGATATTTTCACGATATACATTTCATGGTACGATAATTATTGCGAACAAAATTGTGAATATGCTACTTATTCCTTTTTAAAAGCCTTGATACTGTTATAATGGTCCTGTTGTAATATGAAGAATTAAGATTTGAAAGTGTTATTAATGTTAAATTGGCACTGACAACACCAAAGGATCATGGTCTATGTAGTCCTCTTTGGATGTTTTTTAGCTGTCGCTGCACAATAACAATGAATTTAAGCAGAGATTTGTCATTTGATATTATATTATGACAGTCTACGATAATATTGTGAGACTTTTGACGATACAATATCACGATATTTTGGTTATTGTTACGTCCCTAGGTGATACAGGAAGAAAGTGCTCCACTGTGTTTTTAAACTCCAGACACCTTCACTAGAATCATTTGGGTGATTACAACTGGAATTGCAATCTCTACTGAACTAAAGGTAAAAGGTGTTGTAACTTGAAAACTACAGCTTCATGACATCACAAGGTGGAACAGAACATCTTGTAGACAGACGACTAATAAAGGAAAACTGAAACATGTGTGAATGAACAAAACACAACTCAGGGTCTGTTTTTTAAGAGGCAACAGCATTATAACCTGGCTTAAAGCTCACTAGAGTCCATTTTGTGTAATATAGGACCTTTAATGGGAACACTGCAAAATATGAATAATAAATGGAAATTCTATTTAAACGTGTCTTCCATTTTGACAAAAAAGTTTCATTTGTGACTGGTTTCAAGATTATTTAGCCTAAAAAAAAAAAAGGTTGGGGTGTGCAATTTTCTCACCAATTTACACATAATTTACAAGTAATATAAATCCAACTTAATCAGCTGAACGAAAAACGTGTTCAGTTTTGATGTCATTTTAAAGATGCACTATGGACCATTTTGGAGGATCTTGCCTGTGGAGATGTTATTACTTTATCTGGAATGTTCCACAGAATGGAATTAAAATGACTAAGGATGTAACAATAACCGAAATATCGTGATATCGTATCGTCAAAGTTCTCACAATAATATCGTGGACCATCAGAATATATCGAGTTACAAGTCTCTTTGCTTAAATTAAAGAGTTAAGGTGGAGCAATAGCTAAAAAAAAGACAGTGAACTACAACGACCATGATCCTTTGCTCCATTTTAGTGTAGATTACAAGAAGAAATAACAGTTCTAAGCACTTTTAAGTCTTAGATCTTTTAAGTCTTAGATCTTTGGATTAAGTCTTGTAAAGGCATCGCAATAAATATCTTACCATGATATATATCGTGAAAATATCGTACCGAGACATTTGGATATTGTTACATCCCTAATCATGAGCCTCCCCACCATATCGTGCACTTTCCCATGATATCGCAATAAATATCGTACCGTGAGGTTCATACCGTGACGATATCGTATCGTGAGACTTGGATATCGTTACACCCCTAAAAATGAACGATCTTCATGGAGACAAGCAGGTAAAGCCAATAGGTGAGATCTATGCCAAAATGTATGTTTCTCATTGTGTTTTTATTGATGAATTTAAAGCCATACTGTGGAACATTTCAAGTAAAGCAAAAGTAGAAAAGCAAGTGGTAAACCCTTCATCAAAGTCATCCAATACAGTCGGTGTATACAAAGTTTCTTTAAAGAGGGAGTACAGTTTTAACACTTTTAGATCACCATGATAACTTTTGTCATTGTGAAAATGCTAAGTCCCCACTCTAAGTCACTCCCCCTTCAAAGCATCATCACGTTACAATGTCCGTGCATACCGATAATTAAACTATTACACATCGCATCAGGTTCATTAAGTTGTAGTGTAGCAAGAGTATATTTTTGGGTATTTTACTAAATTATTTCGTTACAACGCTGCAGTTTTGTTGCTTGTTTAGGGGAAGGAAACTCTTTTATGCAACACATTTGACATTTTCATTGTTTTGATGATTAAAATCGGTGTGTTTCATATGAGCTTTGCACAAGAAGTGACTTAACAAAGACTTTCAGTATTATTTTTACTGAACATTTTCGAATCGATTTGAAATATCAAATTGATTCAAAAGCTCACTGTATCGAGGTGCGTATCGTATCGTGGCCTATGCATCGATTTATGTATTATATCGCCAACTTCTTCATAATACCCAGGGCTATGTAGTGTATTGTTTAGTTTCATGTTTGTATATTTATGGAGAATTATAGTCCAGTAGCATGGGTCACGTAGGCTTGTGGTCTGCGTCTTGGGCAGCATTATTCTGTTTACTTTTCGAATAGGGCCCTGGAGAGATTACTTAATTACTCAAACATGCATGGATGACATCTAAAACCTCTTCAGGCATATTTCTGATGAGGGAAAAGCGTCATAACATGTAAGAATGGCCCAAAAAGTCAATACCGCCTCTTGAATTAATGCTACTTCTTAACAAAATGTCAGATAAACAACCATTATAACATTGATCAGTGTAAATCGCTGGGTTAGATTACATCACATCATTTAATACAGATGAGGGCAGCTATAAATATTGTTAAAATGCAACTTTTCCTCCTAAAACAGTGAGTTCTTAGGGAAAAATGTCTCTTGCCTCCCATCTGGTATATGATGACATTATCTCGTGCTAATATCTTGTGACAAAGAGCGCCTTTGTCCCTATTTATGTACATTTAATTTCATTTCACATCTATGTCAATATTCTACTAAACAGGTAAATATGACTATCCCAGTGTGAGACAGTATTTTGACCCCGGGATCAATATACCGCTATAGTAAAGTGACCCCCCATAGGATTTGGACTCCCCTTACTTTTTTTCTTTAGTAGTTATTTATATGATCATTATTTCTCATGTAATTTACTTTTATTACACACTGCTACATTCACATTCACTTTCTTTCAAGGTATTTTAAGAAATGTTTTGATGGATAACGACTTGGTATTTTGTGTAAATGTAACGTATTGTTAAAAAATTGCATATACATAATAATCTTGTCACTTTATATATTGTATTTTACATTGTTATGGTTATGGTTTTTAGTTTGCCATGTTCAGATAATCCACATG